AGTTGTTGAGGTATCTTATGTTGAAGGCCAGGCATAACAACATTTCTGACACGATGCATGCCAGACCAGTAGCTGGTGATGAAGGGCTCTATTTTCATGCCTAACTGTGATCTGAGCATGTGTGAGAGAGCAGAAAGCCTGGGCGCTGGCCCGTAGCACCCCTTGCGCTAATGCACAACTGTGATCTGAGCATGCGTGAGACAACAGATGTTCTGAGTTCCCCCCGGCACTGGGTTTCACCAATCACATCAGCTCCTCCCCTCACCTTTAAACCCACCTGCTGATACAGCGCTAAATTCACAACCAGTTTAATTTCAAGAGACTTTCCCAAAAATTGGGTCTAGACCATCCTGTCTGTTTGATTATGTACAGAGACCTGGCTTCAAGACTGAGTTTCATCCAGACCCACTCCTCACCATCTTAATCCACCTTGAAAAAAAAAAAAAAAACATATAATGGTAGCAGACACTACTTACAGCCTTGCAAGTGTCTTTCATCAAGGAATATTGATGGACCTAAGGTTTACAACTGTTAGGACTTCATTTGCACTCAGATATTTGGTTGCAACAACAGTCTTAAACTCTTTCAAAAGGAGTTATTTTTGTGACAGAGTGGTCAGGGTTTCTCTTTCAGTGGACAGAAGTCGTAAACTGTCCTTGGTAACCTTGAAGAAGATTACAAAGAACCTGCTTTGCCTCACAGGCCCAGCTTTCCTTTCAGGTTCTGTGCCTGGCTCCCTGGCCCGCAGATGGACAGTTCAAACTAATCCCAAATACTTGACACCAACATTTTGTTGAACTTGAATTTGAATTAACATTTGAACTGAGGGAGTCTGTGTGAATCATGGTTGGGTTGCTTTTCATCACAACACGCTGAAAGTCATCTCCTTCTTAAGCATAAGATAATGAGCGCAGTTGAAAAGAAGCCATCCGTGCACATCTAAAAATTAAAAATTCACATGGAAAAGGTTAAAAGACTGTGGGGGCGGCATGGAGGAACAGCCCCCCAGGTTGTGACGGTGTGTGAGCTGCTCTGTGGCTCGATGTCTCTACCCGCTCCTGATATTATTGTGCATGTGAGCGGTGTCACAGTCTGACCTTTAGAGAAAGGTCAGTCCATTTGGAAGAGGAATAGAAAGACCTCACACACACACACACACACACACACACACACACACACACACGCACACACAAACACACACACACACACACATACTCACACACACATTGACCAGTGATATAGATTCACAGCATAAAACAAAACCAGACTCTGTCGACCTTTATCTATTTATCTGTATCTAAATAAGTAAAGAGTTATCTAAGAAGTGAAGTAATACACAAAGTAATACTCATGTATCTGTATTTTGTCTTCTCTGAACCCTGAACTCCTCTTTCCATGCCTGCTTCTATCTGTCTCCATCTTCTTTCTACACTTTGAGAGACTTAATCACAGGTCAGTCACCTTACTGAATAGTTGATTTTACACCACAAGATGATATGGTTCCATGAAAAACCATTTGGCTGTCTACATGAACTTTCTCCAGGCTGGTGACACCTGCGGTGAGATTATTGAAGGTAACCATGCATCATGGCTTGATGTGTATCTTGTAATTTTCAGTCTGTTAAACTGCTTTTTTAAACTGGATTTTTCATGCTGCAATCTTGGGCTGAAAATCAGAATGAAAGTATTTCTGACTAATCAGGTCAGGGTATGGGTGTATCATTTGCCAGATAGGATAAAAAAAAAGACCAAAAAACAAGGGAATGGCTTTGCTCACATTTTTTTCTGAATTAAAAAGAAGTACAGAGAACTTTTTTTGTATTAGGACATTTTCTTGTTTTTTGTTTAAAAGATAAGGGATAGATGGATGGACAGATGAACAAGGGGTAGATGGTTAGATGTTTGATAGATGGATAGACGATGGATAGATGCAGAAGTTGGATGGATGGACTCATACAGGAAGTTGGGCAGAGGATAAAAATAGATGGATCAAGAGGATGGAGTGATTTACAGATTGGTTAATTGAATGAAAAGTTGGCTGTAGGTATAGCTAGATGATTGATTAGACAAAAAAATATTGGATGATTGACTGATAAAATATGGATGGTTTGATAGAAGGATAGGTAGATGGATGAATCAATAGCAGATGCTTAGAAATATCATTTATTAAAGGACAGATGTTCCACAGATGGATGGATGGATGAGCGGGAGGTCTAAGTGATGATGGATGGATGGATGGATGGATGTAGTAGTAAATACAGTTTGTCGCTACATCTGTAGGTGCAAGTTAAAACTCTACAATGCAAAGCGAGAGCCATTTATCAACAACATCTAGAAACGCTGCCGGCTTCTCTGGGCCCGAGCTCATCTAAGATGGACTGATGCAAAGTGAAAAAGTGGAAAAGTGTTCTGACGAGTCCACATTTCAAATTGTTTTTGGAAACAGTGTCCTCCAGGCCAAAGAGGAAAAGAACCATCCGGACTGTTATCGACGCAAAGTTCAAAAGCCAGCATCTGTGATGGTATGGGGGTGCATTAGTGCCCAGGGCATGGGGAACTTGCACATCTGTGAAGGCAACATTAATGCTGAAAGGTACATACAGGTTTTGGAGCAACATATGCTGCCATCCAAGCAACGTCTTTTTCATGGACGCCCTTCCTGCTTATTTCAGCAAGACAATGCCAAGCCACATTCTGCACGTGTTACAACAGTGTGGCTTCACAGTAAAAGAGTGCGGGTACTCGACTGGCCTGCCTGCAGTCCAGACCTGTCTCCCATTGAAAATGTGTGGCGCATTATGAAGCGTTAAATACAACAACGGAGACCCCGGACTGTTGAACAACTGAAGCTGTACATCAAGCAAGAATGGGAAAGAATTCCACCTTCAAAGCTTCAACAATTATTCTCCTCAGTTCCCAAACGTTTATTGAGTGTTGTTAAAAGGAAAGGTGATGTAACACATTGGTAAACATGCCCCTGTCCCAACTACCTAGGCACGTGTTGCAGCCATGAAATTCTGAGTTAATTATTATTTGCCAAAAAAAAAAAAAAGTTTTTAAGTTTGAACATTAAATATCTTGTCTTTGTAGTGTATTCAATTGGATATAGGTTGAAAAGGATTTGGAAAATCATTGCTTTCTGTTTTTATTTACGTTCATCACAATTTCCCAACTTCAATGGAAATGGGTTTTGTAGATGGATAGAAAGATAGAAAGAAAGATAAATAGGTAGTTTTTAGATTAGTCTTAGATTTTAAGTTGATACAATTTATACATTATTATTGCTGCCTGTCAGGAAGCGTACAGCGCTGAACTGATAAATTATAAATGAATGCATGACTGAAGATAATGTTTTTATCCTAATAAGGCATCAAAGCATCATCTTTATGAGTGTGTAGACTCCACACACACACACACACACACACTGACACAAAGTAAACTGAAAGCTCAGTGGCATTAGAGGTACCATAGAGGGTACATTAGTGATTCTCATTAAGTGACAGAGATGAATTCTTAATTACCATTATTGTATCTGTGGATAATACACACACACGCGCAGAGGAGCAGGCACATACACATGAGTGTGTCATTAAGGCCATTAAAGTCATGAACACTGATGGTATGCTAATGAAATATTACACTGCTCTAGGTGTGTGCTTGTATGCCTGTGTGTATGTGGTTAAGAGGCCCATAGATGTTAATAAGGGAATTATCAATACCATCTGACTTAGTTAATGCATGGACTACAGTCTTGACATTGTGGTTATTTAATATAGATAATATTCCTGCATTAACAGAGGTGTGGCTGTATCATTTGTCCTTCTATTAACAACGTATACACATATAAACGTATAAAACGTTTAAAACATGTAGTAGTAAAGAGTAGCAGTAAGTATGAGATAATAATTTGCTAAATTGATTTTGCTGCTGCTTTAACACATATGGTTCTACCCAACCCTTTGTTTTTCAAACACATGGTGACAAGGAGGAGAAGAAAATCTGACAGAGAACTAGAGAGACGGCGTGGTAATTAGATGACTTAACTGGCTAATTAACAAATGATGAAGTGTCACGATGCCCCTGGGAGACACACACACACACACACAAAGGACCAGCTGTTTAGGTTCTGCGATGTGATGTGGCCAGAACTCGTGCTCATGCAAACTCACACCTGCCTCTATGTACATTCATAATGGAGTTCTTTATCATATTTAATCATGACACATTTGGCTTCACATGCTACAAGTTTTTCCTAATTCCTGTGTACCCTACAACACTAATGCACCCTTTTCTTCTTCTGTTGCCCTCCTATTAAGAAGGCAACAATCAGTGCACAGCTTGTCTCAATTAGTCAGGTCCTGAAATAGATTAAAAACTGACTGACAAAAGGACACAACAGAGCAGAGAGACACATTCAGATGCGGAGACATGTGCTTCTCAGCAGCCACTGCTTTCTGTTTTTGCTTGGCCTCCTTTGTAACTATAGGTATATATACAGTCTGTTCATGACCAACAGCTGAGACTCTGCAGGCTTCTCCTTTCATCTTTTCCAAATCCACATTCATACTTTTTGCAAGTACATACGGATTAGTCCAATCAGCTATGTATAGAGGCTGCCCCTATAAAAAGGCAAGCAACAAGCTTACTTCTTATCCGCCATGTCCTCTGTGACTAGTGGAACAGCAGGGTGACTTGTTAGACAGCTCTGCAAGGAGTCTGATAGCTGTACCCCCCGCCATGACACTGACTGACTCCACAGTATATAACTCCAAGCTGTGTAACATGTCAGACTGAAGAAAGCTGCCAGTCACTGGCTGTTCCACCTGCAAAATTATCTGCTTTAGTGACTTCAGTTTCTTGAACGTCACGACTAAAATCAATTCAGAAAGATGAAGCATGCAGGATAGATGCAGCATAAGAACAGGGTTTGGAGACTTTAATGTGCGTACTAGTTAATCTTTCTTTCTGCTTGAGTATTTGGCTTGATAAGCACCATTTCTCTATTTGCTGGTCATGGCAGTGGCCTCATCTGTTCTAACACACTGAGAACAGTAATAACAGTTGGAATGATTTCCACTGACCTTAACTTTTAGTGACTCACTGAGCGGTCTAATCAATCTAACTTTTGCCCTTAAAAGCAGCAGAATAACAGTGTTTTGGGCTCTAATTCATCAGAAAGGATTGTTGAATCTTTTTAGGGGTGGGGTCTTTTTGGTCACTAGATACAGCAGAATGTCTGGTTGAATGGATTTGTCTGGTATTAGTTGTGAGTAGGTCAAGGTTTCTGGATGGCTGAAATGAAAATGCTTGCAAAAAAAAAAAAAGAAAGAAAAGAAAACCTCTCCTGCACCTTTTCTCTGTCCATCCCATTAAAGGAGATTTGTGACATTGCAGTGCTGTCAGGGGAGGAGTAGCCAGCTGCAACATCAGAGAGCTCCTCCATTTGCCTCCCCCGGTCTTGTTGCTGCCAGCAGATCAGCCCATAGGGAGGTGCAATGTAAAGGGCACATCCTGTACTGTAGCCAGATGATGCTGTGTAGGTACCAGTGATCCTGTTCCTTGCTTCCGAGAGACAGAAGTTGAAACACATCTGCTCCCTGCTTAAGAGGGCAGCTTGAGAGATAAAGGAAGTGTCACTTGAGTGACAGTCTTGTCCCGGCAAGCCAGGCCTGAAAGTGATATGCTTGCCAAGCAGTGTTAGCTGGATGGTGTAGTGATGAGGAGAGGAGTGATACGGCTCCATGAACCAGCTGAGGCCAGAGGGGATGGCTACAAACTCAGCGGTGGTGTCTGAGAGCACATGCAGTAGGCCGTGCTCCCCTTCAGGCTAATGTTCTTGGAAGAATTGGGCTTCTTTGGACTCCAGGGCTGCAGTTGGCCTCGGGTTACCCAAGCAGGCTTTTTGACGCCATTACGGGTAGTACCCTTCACCCCAAACACTAGTGCCCAGAACAACTGCAGCTGTTGATTTTCAACAGCCTTTGCCACTGTATGAGGCATAATGGAGTGGGAGGGGGCACAAATGAAAACTACAGTGCGAGGGCAACATTTGTGTCTATGACTAAGTGATACAACACTTCATTGATGCTTATGTCTTATGGGAGGAACATAATAAGACTATTTACAGTAGGGGTGGGGAGAAAGAAATCAATACAGTACAGTATTGCCATATTTTGTCTGGTGATATATCGTATTGTCTCATTTACCAAGTATCAATTTTTTCAAATTAATTGTTAGTATGAAGTCAAATCTCTGATAATAGAAAAATAAAATCAACTGTTTGTCCAGTGAGGTGACATCATAGAGCAGGAGAAAGTTAGTACAACAAATATAGCAGCACCTGGGGAAAGACATTAGGAACAAATGAGATGGACCTGATACATAAGGTTTGCAAGAGGTGTTACATGAAAATAAAATACTGTGTAAACAAGGCAAATATAAAGGAGAGACAAATGCTAAATTAGCTAAACAGCTGAAACATTTGTATAGATCACAATACTCTGTATTGCAAAATGTTAAAATTCGCTATAATTTATCTATAATCTCATTCTGTGGCCCAAGTATTATGATATGTATGATATGACACATGATATATATGTATGATTTACAGGTTGATAACATGAAAAAGGTTAATTGAAATACTCCTATCCATCTATTCATTTATCTATATCATACATTTGACATCATGTATCTTTTAACACTGCTGTTTCCTCTTTGGCTGACACCTACAACCCCTTGCATGGGTTTCCTGTATTCAACATTATCAGTCTTGTTTTCGATGGTCTTATTTGCTTTAAATGCCATTGAAGGGCATCATTATGAATTTCAGTTCATTTTATGGATTGAAAAAAAACTCCTCATAGGAGCTTTAGACTAGAGATACCATGCTGATAGCTGAGTACTTTATGAGGTCACAAATTGTTTATCCTATTATAATGAAAAATTTAACAAAATTGCCCATTTGTGGACATTCTGAACAATTGATGAATCAAATCTCAATTAAATATACACATCCATGACCCAACCATTGCTGTGCCACAGTCTAACATTTCAACTAATCATCCCATGATTAAATCCTCTGATGGTTCAAATAAGACTATACGTGCTTTTATTTTTAACTAGAAGTCAGTGTTTGTCTGATGAAAGCTGTCCGAAGTTTGATCAAGATGTTTCCTCCCTCTTAATTGTTGAACAATTCTCGTCTTTCAGTCTCTTTGTAGTGTAACTATTTTTAAAGACAGGCAAGGCTGTTATCAATCGGATAAATGTCAAATATTCAACACTTTTGGCCAAATCCCTCCCTTCCTTTCTATATCTCCCTCCCCCTTCATTCCCTCTCCATTCTCATTAGCAGTCTGCGCTCCCCTTCCCCACCATCACTCCATCCCTGCTCATTTCCTAGTCAGATGGGGCTTTGCAAGGCAGAAGGTCACAGAAATGTCTCTCTTATATACACAGTCTCTCTCTCTCTCTCTTCTTCCTCTCGTTGGGTTTCTGCCCCTTTCTTCTCCCACACCCCTTCTGCTCTCACATGAGAATGCATACATTATTAAATGTCTCTTTCCCTTTATTCCTTCCTTTCCTTCACCCCCACTAGTTCCTCTTCATCTCTTCCTCTCTCCCTCTGAATACAGTACATATATTATTCTTTTTGCTCTGACTCCCTAGGCCCCTTTGATACAAAGGGGGACAGGTTTCTGGTTATGGCCTAAAACTGCAATGTTAGGTTCAATACCTGGAGGAAAAAGGGGGTGACACTTCCATCAGAGCGAGGCATGTAATACGTCCAGGGTAAGAGTTAAGTAGCCTGCAGCAACCTGGTTTCACAGTAAAGCCAGTCACTATTACACAATATGATTTACAGTCCTAGCTGGTCTCGTTATCCGGCGCTACTCCCTGGAAAGTGATGTGTGCAACACTGAGTTTGCTTGGAGTGGTCAGTTTGCTCCACAATCAAGTTTGGAAGAACTAAAAACTCAAAATATTCAGGAGAACTCAAAACAAGCAGAGGTTTTACTCTTGCTCTGCTCTGCTGCCCCACCGGATTAAAAAGCTGACATAAGCAGCTGATGCAGCAGATTTGTTGAGGTCTGCTTTACACAAAGTGGACCAAATATCTCATCTTTGGGGGTTACCTTGCTGTCTTTGGTGTAGAATCCAAAAGACTTCTCCCAACTGGTCCCCTAGCTCCTGACTTAGCTGAAAAACTTTTGGAAAGGAGTCGTCGCCTTGGAGTGATTTAGGAATGCAAGTCTGAGCAAGATAGAGCACAGAATGGTAATCTCAGTGAGGAGCGATAGTCAAAGGGATATTCCGGCGTACATTTAAGTTATAGTCAAACGCACTGTAACACCGACTTAGACACCCCCTCGAGAGATGAATGTTGCCGAATGCTTGCTTCTCTACTTATACCAACTTCAGTTAGGACCCCATAATAGCAATACATAGCAGTCTACATCTCCACAGAAAATTTATGATTATTACTTAATGGAAATGCAATCAGACCAATGCTAAGACAGAAGAACTACAACACCTGTAGTGCCCATTCAAGATACACAAGAACTCTAATTGCATTTCCATGAATAATGAGCATAAATGTTCTTCCTTGAGCTGCGAAAATCTGCTTCATTCTGTGATCGACTCGTCAGGGCTCCCCCACAAACAAGTGGCTGCTGGAGGTGAGTGGGTGAGTTGTGTTTGGTCTCTTTGCTTAAGAAACCAGGCAAAGCTAAGAAGATGTTTGATGGCTAGTCCTGTGGTCGGGACCCTATATGTACTGTTGATGAAGTTAGGTGCTGTTCTGAGCATTATATGTGGCGGTAGAGTGGCTTTTTGGTTGAGGTTTGGAGCCATAGACCGCTGTGTATTGCTATCGTGTGGTCATTGCTGAAGTTGGTATAAATAAAGAAGCAAGCAGTCAGCAACATTCATCTCTTGAGGGGGTGTCTAACTCAGTGTTTTGGTGTGTTTGACCTTAACCTAATTTTACACTGGGAAATTCCTTTAACCTAGTTTGCTAAACAAATGATGGACTGTATCAAATATTTTTGGGGCTTTATTTATTTATCAGGCTTTAAACATGTTTTTTTTTTTGCTCCACATGTGGTTTTCTGAATGTGGTTTCCAGTTCCTCTTCCTCAAGTGGGCACTTGGGAACTGCAGATTTTAGCACTTCTGCATTGACTTTTAGACCAGAATAATTCCTGCCAGACCAGAATTGGTTTGGGTTTTTGACACTCCATTTTGAAGCCTGAAGTACTTGACATTGTGTTTTCTGCGTTTGCTTGAGCTGCTGCGGTGTAACAAGTGGAATCACACCTGTCGGCAGGTGGAGAGGAAGGTAATTATACTGAGGTCCAAAAAACATTTAGAGAGAGTGACAAGGGAAAGAGGGAGGCAGGCAGAGGTGTGTGTTAGTGTGTTACATCCACACAGGACAACAGAAAGGCTAAATCAATAGTCCTACTCTGTGTTTGCTCTCACTAAGACATCAGCGCTGTGACCCCACCATCACCATAGAGATTAGTTGTCACACTTGTCAAACCCAGACTCCCTCTTTACAGTGAAGGCTGATTATGATTCTGCGCCTTTGCATATCTCTGCAGCTTTTCATGGCTTTTTTTTTTTTTCTGAGATAGTTTGGCTGTCAAGAATGGTGGTTTTTGCTGCTGACTACTTTCTCATCATAGATCTGTGAAATACTCTAGTTGGAATCAAAGTCATGAGCTACAAAATACCAACAAGTACACAAGTAACAACAACTACTAAACTGCATATACATTCCAACCATAGACTGTATATACTATGGATAACTTGGCTCCGCCTTCCATTATTATACAAATTTGAAGCTGAATTGTTCTCGGTAACTCCGCGATTTTTTCCACTTCCTGGAACCACCTCTTGCGCAGTAGCATTGTACGTATTTAGCGGGAGAGTCGCTGTGATGACGCTTGGCTCAAACAGCGTATCCCTGTGTGAGCCATGCAATCTTCGCACACCCATAGGCTGTATCAAGTGTCAATCATAGAAAACATGAACCCTTAATAACTCTTGAAAACTGAGCTGTACAGAAAAAAGAGGACTTGAGTAAATACATTTTAACATCACAAGCAGTGGGGGACTAAAAAACATATATTCTGTGTAATTAATTTCCAAAGTTTGTCCACAGCTTCATAGGGATTGCTGGAGGAGGCGGGATTTATGACCTATACTACAGCCCATCACCAGAGGGTGCTGTTCTTGCAGTGGCTTCACCCAGTGAGGAGGCAGACGGTATCCATTCTATTTACAGTCTATGATTCCAACATGTTGCATGTTTCCCTGGTAACAATTTTACAGGTCATAAAAGCTGCAAGGGTGGAGGTATTTGAATTTGGATTTTGTGTGTTTAGCCGCGGAGAGTTTGGACAGAAAGGAGAAAGCTAATGCCGAGGAGAACAAAAGATGGAACTGAGAAAACCAAGGAAAAATTGGCTTATAATAAAATAAAACCTCAGCAGTTGAAAAAGGCCATCCCCCTGCTGCTCCCAAAATCAGCCAAAAACCAATCAGCACCTTTGTGTGCCCAGTCTGCAGCTCTTATTTGCCCTAGAGGTAAAAGCTGTTTCCTTTGTGGTACAGGTGCTCAGGCAGGACACTCAGCAGACTTTATTAGCTATCATTTTAAGAAATGGACAAGAGAAAGTTTAGATCTTAAAGCAAACAATGGTTAGTTAAGCAGACAATGCTCTCCTCAATTGGTCT